CAGGCCTTTTGACATTAAAAGGAAACATTTCGATTACAAAAGGAACATGATACTTAGTACGAGTGTAATTCGGCTACTGTAACGCAATTATAAGCTTTGAGAGAGATAGGTGGCCTGCTTATTCAGGTCATCTGGTGATTTAACACAGTTATGCAAAGTAATTGCAGTCCTACTAAATCTTTGACGGCTTTTACTCTGAGATACCGATGAATGCCATGCGCTTCCCTCTTGGATCAGCAGATCGGGTCCGTTAATTTTTACAGGACGCGTGATCACTCTTGCACGAGCTTCATTAGTAACAGGTTGCAAGAAACAGTTCTCGTCTGGTGATGAGGTGCTTAGCGCTAGTTTTAAATCTGTATCATAATCCCCTTCGCGTAGTGAGAAGATACATTTGTCGGTCGGCCTAGTTTTGTACAACCGTGTCACACTTTGCTGTCATGCTTATTATATTTTCCATTCGTTGCAGTCGGTATCACACGGAGCAGGCAGCAGAACTGCCACTACATGCGTACACGCATCCGCGACGGCTACCCACGATCAAATCTGCACGGTCACGTACCGTAGAGCTCAACCATCATCTTCACTCTTGCTGGTGTATTTTATAACAGCAGCGTCTTTCACTCGGCGTCCCTTTAGACTACCCCATGCTTGGTATAGTCCTCGTCAAAGACAGCGCGGAAGGTAGGCTTTGGAGCTTCGTGCCTGTGTTACTTCCGCCACAAGATGGAAAAGGAGATCCTTTGTCGCAACAGACATCTGATTATTGCGTAAGCTTGTTAAGCTGGCCAAATCGCGTCTGAGACTTTGGTGAAACGAAAGAGGTTACCACTCGAAAAGTCTTCTGAGAAGAAGCTGTGTGTTCCTGTTGCAATCCGTTGAAGATACAATCGAGTATAGCATTCGTTTCATTGCATAAATGCCATACGCCATGACGCGCCTTCGTCCCACGCCGTGCGCACGATTCGCCGAGTACACCGGATAGAAAACCAATATACCCAGTGAATCGTCGATATTTATATACACACGGTCCACTGAATGTGAGTGGATTAACGAAGACGAGAAAAACGGTGATTTGCTGATACACTTACGACAAAACGATGTCCGGCAGCTCTCTGCAACAGCGTAAAGTGTTCAATATAGAAGGGATCTTCCTGCAGCCGTAATTTGTTTGTTTACTGTTTCCCTCAACTGCTCTACGCAAACTCTTGAATACGTTTACGTGACAGTTCCTTCATATTGAGTTTGAATAGAGAACAGTCTCGCTTGTAGTTTCATTGCTGGCTGATAACCCAGCGAAGTACATATTCTTCAAGCGCGCCATATTCGAGAAAATATGAAAACGCAAAACTTCCTGTGCTTGGTTCGGTCCCTTGGACCAATCGAAGTACATTAATGGTAATTATTATCATACGTGTACCACTATTCCCTCCGTACGAACTATCATGTATTGTGTGTCAGTGTGATCAGCTGCCCGAAAAACAATTGGAAAGCAGGTTGTTTCTCCTTTTCTTAGTCTCTATCGTGTCCTTTATTCTACTGTATTGTATTGAACTTTAGCCTGTAGTAAATATTGCTTAAGAAGATTTGCCCAGTGGCGAAACAGTAAATGGTGGCCTTAAATATTGGGGCATCGCTGCAAACGGTAGGATCGCCTCCGCCTACTCAGCGCCGTTCTATTCAATCCACATGCGAGTCTACGCTACGAACCCATGTCAATAGCAACCGATTAAGGGTAGCTAAACTAATAATTGAATTTATGTAGAGACGGGCAGCTATATGAGTAACCGATATTCGGCGGTGTAAAAACAGCGACTGTTCTGAAAGCAAAGAAAATCGTTCAGGAGTATGCATACTATGAAAATATTGCGAAATCAATAAACAGAGCACACATCCGAGATCGTTGTTGGGCTACTGTTTGACCATAACTAGCAGCGATATACATAGTTGATTTGTGCTTCCTCGAACCTGCTACGACAGCAGAGACTTGTCTGATAAGCCAACGTTATTCTCCATAAGAAAATTCTGAACAAAAACGCTTTCTTGCGAGTTGCAATGCGATAGCTAGCGTTCTTGTTCACCCATCGAAGGCCTTACCTGCTTTGAAAGGCTGCACTGGTTTCTTGCATGTTAGTCGACTGATACAGAAAGTTAGAATAGATTCTGCTGTGAATTTAGGCCGCTCTGCTTAGGGAAGGCTTTTCACAGAGTATGTAATAGAGACTGGAATCAATACACACTGAATACCTTACCAATTGTAACTGATTATATCAGGAAGGTGCTATTATTAGATACCCATTTGCATGAGCAGTCATTGCTTTTATGGTAAATTGAGGGCTAAATAGTTTTTATATAGTTTGCTAATCGTACAGTGGTTTATTCAGAATCGCGTACGAGCATACTCTGTGATACTTGAACGTCACTCGACCATGCTAATAGTGATAGCTCTGTTTGTTGCTAAAAGCTTCCTAGTCGTTCTCCTACTCTCAGGAGATTGTGTACTCAAAAAAAAGACATCGTCACCAAAGGGGCCAACTTCGTAAAAGTTGTTATATCAGTTAGGGGCAATATGGCTCTCGCTGTGTCCATTCGTATAGCCAACTATCCGTCTCGCGTAAGGCTACTTCAGGAGTAGAAGTCCGGAGACGCTCAGGAAGTAGAAGTTAGCGTTTGTATATTTTGAGGGCATGAATGAACGAGGGTATGAATTCATGACGATTAAAAACGCTTGGCTCAGAATCCTCGGTATCAGTTGGCATGCTATGCCAGCGGTCTCTACGAAGGACCACTTTTCGAGCTGTTATTGCGGCAAGTTTCGAATTCTTGTTTTCACTCAAAAGAGCTCCTGAGAAAAATAAAGCTCATAGAAGCAAAGGAAAAAGACTAATGTTGCGGCATGAGCGCTTCTGGCACATAAGAAGGCCTGATTTTTAAACAGAACGGGTTTTGTTTCTAAATTAGCATGCGTTTAGCGTGGCACTGACTTTTGTGTCGTTCGAAAAAGTATATAAAAACACATGTGTTTGCAAAGCTATCTAGGTCAAGACCACTGGATTACTGAGAATAAAGTTGGGCAATGCAAAGTATTTAAACAGAGTTTTACGATTGATTGCATTTATTCTACTGTTGAAATGTTATGGAAGGGGCCACGAATATTTTTGCCATCTTCTGTTCTTTATTGAAGAAAAAAAGAAAGAAAAAAGATAATTGTGCATAGTCAACCTGGGCGTGGACCAACCTTCATGTGATTTCAGCCCAATCTATGCAGATATATTCAAATATTATATTTAAGAGGGTGAATTAAAGGCTCCTGACTATATGTGATTCATTCAATCGGATTATATCGTTCTGCTGGGTCCGACTCAGCTAGTCCATAGACAATATAAAACTTGTAAGACATTGCAACAAAATAAAAACATAACGAAAAATGTTATTTATGACTAATATTAATGATCTCGCGCAAGTGGACACAGCCCACCGTACATTTGACTGTTTATATTTCCGAAAAAGTTTATTTATATTCAGAATACACAAAGCCTGAAGCACACGTCAGGTATTACCTGAATGATAAAAGTGTACTTTGATTGAGCAAAAATTGGTATCATCGATACACGTCCTCATGACGTAATTGAGAATGGTGAAGGAATGGCCAAAACACATGGGAAAAGAAGTCCTGAAATGGAAGCCAAAGTACATAAAAAAAACGTTTCTTTAGAATAGACATCGCTTAACAGATGTTGTACCGTATATATATATATCAGTCCACGATAATGGGTAAATACGTGCGTATGTACGTATTCAGTCGAGGCATGTGATGGTAGTTTTTTTTTTGCAATGCGTAGCTATAGGACGTTTCAGTAATGAACTAGGTAACGTATACATTAGTAGACAGTTGTGCGATGCGTCCAAATTGCGCGGCAAAGTTTACGATACGTCCTCTCACTAATAGCCTAGTTATGTTTTAGGTTCAGAACTCATTGACTCATTAGTTACCTCACAAAAACATCATCCTGACCGATCGGTAGGCGCGAGTCGTCGACTAGCAAGTCAGCTGATACGGACTTGGTCAGTCCACTGAGTGTTAATTGAAAAATCAGATTCCTTTGAAAGTATATAGAAGTTGCTTCACGATATATCATCATTTGACGGTTCGACATGAAATCTGACAGATTTGTATTACAGCACGTACTGCCATTCACGTAATCGATAGAAAAATATACGACCTAAATAGTGTTAGTTAGCGGAAGGTGGGGCTGTATAAGCCGTTTTTAACACTATAAAGCTTTTTGCAAATTTTAGATGTAGATGGGTCAGATATTGCATGCAATTGGCATTACAGAATTTTTACGTTGTCCAAACTTTCGAACATAGGGCCATATAGAGGGGCTTTTCTTTTTTATGTATTTCATTAAACATTTGTTGTACTATGAGGGAGCAAGATTACAGACCCGTTCTTACACCACGGCTTCACCTACTATTCTTAGTCTAAACCAAAAACAAGGCACGTTTCATGAAGGGCATAACATTGAGCTAAGCTATAATAAATGACCAGTCCGGAACTACATGAATTCTATGGTATAGGCTATCTAGCTTACTGCGTTTGAAACAAGCTGACATCGATGTTGCAAAAGAAGTAAGTAGTTACAGAGTTTGCTGAAAAATGTGTGCCTATGTACATATGTTAATTTAAAGTAAGTCATCGTATTTCCGCGCTCGTAGTACAAAATATTGCTTTTGTCAACAGTGTGCTACTGATTTTCGAAGAGATTTTTACGCATGACGACTTTTTAGGTGTACCGCACCAGTCGGGCGAAACAGTTCTGCCAATGGACACGCTCACCAAATTTCGACCCGTACAACCCCACTTTCTCCTTTATGTCAAGTTATTTTCTTTACAAAGTGCCAAAATGATAGTAGCAAATGACTATCTTATGTATTTGTCATAACTGTCGAAGGCTATTAACTATCCCTCAACCAATGAAGTTCTTCCTTTTTGGCAGGTCCGGTGTTGACGCATTCGTCAAGGACCTTCTTCACTGTAAAATGTACGGTTAGTAATTTAATTTTCGAGCGATTAAAAAAGCGTTAACTCGTAGGTTCGAAACCTAGTGAATGTGGTATGTGTAATAGTCTTCCACTCAAGCTACGGCCCATACAGTTTGCGTAGTGCGCCTTTCGCAATCCTTGTCCTGTGTTGCCTAAATTTTTCCTTTAACAGGGCGACTTTATCTCGTTTATCGAACTATTTCGTCTTATCGACACAACTGGGCCGTATGTGGATAAATTGGCTATTTTGCCCCCTCAACCATTCACCAGTAGTAGTGACTTTTCGAGTTCCACCAAACGTAAATAATAGTCTTTTGAAAATGGCGATTTGACTTAACTCTAAGGTTAAGCGAAGTTTCCAGAGCTAGATATTCATATATCTACTTCGTGTCAACCTGAAAACACCACGTTCTGTCGTCCGTAATGATTCTGTGTAGGAATTTATCATTTATGACTGAGTGTTCGTCTGTATAGCGCAAGGTTCTGAAAGGCTTAGCTTATGGAGCACTCAGACTAATCTTTGAGTAGAGCTTATAGATTAAAAATACCTGTCGATAGTCATATGACTGCAATTCATCTACTCGCCTAACTTAGAGTTGTTCTCCGTCAGGGGTGCCTTCAGGCGGTTCTTATCGACCTCAGGCGGCCGACCAAGGCAGAATATATCCGCTAGATTCAAAATACCGCTACTAGATCATTAAATAATACTGGCATTTGGAAACTAACGAATGATTAAAGTTCAGCAATGTTTTTTTTAAAAATTCTTTTCAGGCATGATTTTCAGAGCGTATACGGCAGAAACACCTCGTACTACTTCAACAGCTTTTTGTTCTCAACGAAAGGTGAACTGTAGTGGATGTTGGAAATATGCTTTTTTTCTTACCACCTGGAATTTTCAACTTTAGGGGGATCTGAATCTGATGTAAAATTCCGCGCGCTGCACAATGAAATTACGATGGACTTATAGAGGAAAAGGAACACTTTTCAATGGTTTATGGAAATAAACAAACAATAAAGGTAACTTGAAATAGAATACTAAAAAATCTGTATTATATGCGCCGAGTATTAGAATTTCAATATTGCCTTCAGGTAGAGCCGTATTTTCGCTTTCGTGTAGGAGTAACTACACATCGTGAATAATAAGAACACCCTTACTTATATATATATATATATATATATATATATATATATATATATATATATATAGTGTTGTTTTCTAATCTATGCACCCCTAGGGAATCGTTTGCGTTGTACAGTGACTAAGGGCATAAGCCCATCTAACATTCTGTTCACCTTATAGACCCCGAAGTAGTGACCATTCAAAACAAATAATAGGTCTTGAAACACCCCAGAGGAGATTATCTGTATCAGAAGAGTTCTGCATGTACATAACATGATCATGATAATAATGAGTGTTAACATATAAACCAATTACAAACTTTTATCGGTACTTTTATCGGCTACCAGGTCGGCATTGGTACGTTAGTAGAAACGTTCTACAAAAGTCAAAACGCCGATAAGGCAAGAGCTATTTGCCGAAAGTCTTAGACAGCCATATACGCAGACGCGGTTCATACTCAGCAGTCGTTCATCTCACAGCCCAGACTCGACATCGCATCGCCAAGAGCGATAAGACCGTCAATACTCATAAGCACCAACACCATGTCTTGTCAATTCTTACCGACAAATAGCGTTACTTTTATTGGTACTTAAATTCATAATGTGGCAGACAAGATGGTACATCACGATAGGCATGTATTAGTTTCTTTATATAGAAGGCGAACCTATAGAAGACACAGGGCCAAGCAGGGTTCAGCTATACGGCGGCGGCAATAGAGCAGGACGATATCAAACTGGGTTGTCTGTCGCGACTGTCAACAAACCAGGAACTATTGCTCTTATATTTGAAGTGTTTTCGTTTTTTAGATTATTATATATCAGTTCTTCTGTAGCAGGAAAGTCATATGGCAACGAATGAAGTTTGGGCATATAGTTTTTTACGCAAGATAAGAATGGAGGCCTCTTAAGCGTTCGACTGTTCAGTGTCTCAGCTTGAATCGAAGGGTGGAATTCGGAAGTGTAACACGTATCTGAGGTGTACATTTAGGAGGCATAAATACTGGGTGTTAGGTATGATTTGGACTATAAAAGTTATAATTTTGTAATCGGTCCTATTCAAATTTCTATACAAAATAAGCAGGCGATTTTAAAGACATTATTGGTTTTCGATAGACATTTATAATACTCCAGTCAACTCGCGCGGCTTTTCCCCTACTTATATGTAGTATTCAAACGCTTATAACAAACGGATGTCTATAATAGATGATCATTTGACTTATTCACAGTGATTACATTATCTAATGAATAACACATCTAGAACAAGATGTCTGAATAGAGAAACTGGTCTTCTTCTTCTTCCAGACAAATTTTGCAAAAGGTACTTGAGCCCTTTTCCTAAATTGCCGTCGAAGCTTTCTTGCAGGAAGCGTACCCTTAGAACCATGTCAGAAACAATATCCTAAGCGAATGATCCGAGTTCAGCAGGTAAAATGTAGGAGCGGTAGGAGCACACTTCGACTATCAATTAACTTCACTGAGGTCGAGGTAGTGAAACTCGAAAGGGCAAGTAGGGTAGTGACTTACAATACATTGTTCCTTACCGGCTCAGCCGTGTACGTCAACTAGTTTTCGTGTTTAGGCTGATCATCTTTCTAACAGCTCTATTTCGGATATCGTAAAAAAATTAGTGAGACGCTTACTGCGGCGTCACGCGCAATCAACGTTTTTGGCCTTGTTTTCTTCGCACCCTATTTATTAAAACTGAAAATGGTTTCGGGGCAGATTCACGGGCTGAATGTCATTCGAGAGGACATGCCGGTTGCGAATCTGAAATAGCTAAATTGAACGGAAGCTTCGTGCCCGAAAAACATGTAATGAATCTACGTTCTACGGCAAGAAATTAGAGAAAAATTGAAAAAAACCTGCTCTGCTGTCAAAGTCAAAGATTTCAGATGACGCTTCAGATTCTTAACCACGAGTAACCTTTCCGAGCGCTTCAAAAAGTGAGAAGTTCGTCAAAGTCAATGCGAGGTTTGCCAACACGGGAGAAACGCCGAATGAAAAAAACCAAATCAGAGAAACTGTTAAACCGTCATTCGTTTTACTGCACATGACGATTTCCACCATGTGTAGCCTGGTGCAGTCAGAAGCTTCCATGAATCAAGCGAAGAACGTAGCTGGCATATATGAAGAGAAAACTGTGATAAGAAACATACCTCGTGTTCTCCTCTAGTGCGCTTGTTTCTCTATGTGGCTTGGTGTACTGACTCAGATTTTATTACAATCTGTATATAGTTTACGAATGAAAAGGAATAAGTGAGAACTGTCGAATTTCGAAGTAAAGGCACAAACTGAGGCCGTGTTAGGTTTATCAATGGTAGGAGTATGAGCTTTTAAAATAAGGACGGAAGTCGCTCAGGAATTGGTAAAGCGATACTAGCATTAGAAGTCGCTTGAATATCAACTAATGTTATTCCACCGTTTACGAAGCGCTCCATTAATTAAAAAGGGCTGAACATTAATTAATGTAATAAATGTGAGTTTTTTATTTTGACGTCGGTTAATGGTTGAGCGTTACTCCTTTACTGTCATTCTGAGTGGATAAAAGCCGTTGGTTTGTTACCACTTCAGTCATCATTCATAAACACATGAGTTCATCGACAGCTTACTCGAGCCTACGCGCGTTATGTACTAATTAGGCGCCTACTAGCTTTTACCATCCCACAGCGTTCCTCTTTACCTTGAACATTTTAAATGAACGTGAACATTATTAGAGCAGTATTGCAGTACGCTGTTGCGTTGTCGTTGTTCATTGCCCCCTTTTAAACTGTCATCATGTTCTTCTAGTTCTTTGCTGTTTGTTTCATCCTCCTTTCGATGTGTCCCTGCACAGAGAGCCCAATCATAAGCGACCCTACGTACACCTATGTTGCACACGTGCATTTCCACATGTTATCGTATCTACTCTCGTGCGTATACGTAAATTGTTCGATGGCGTTACGATTATCATCTGCATAGAGATGTGGAATAAAAAGATAATATATCCGTAGTAGTAGTATGTATCTTAATCGCGTGTATTTTGCCGCTACCCAGGCAACCTGAATTGGCTAAAACTGATGCAGGCCAATCCAGTTTTTCAATTTTCGCTTCTCTAACCTCACTCTTCTGTAGCTTCCTATGTATAGTTAACGCGGCCCACTTCGCGGCCGCTTCACAAAAGCTGTCGAGGACACAGCTACTGTGCTGAAGCACAGGTTGCTAATCGTTTTGGGATATTCATAGCGACGCTGTCTGTGTTTTCCTAACACGGGTTGTTCCTTGTCATGCAGAATTTTCGGCATCTTTTTTTTTATTGTTTTTAGCCGTACGCTTTTTCGTTCCCACTACCACGCCTCCGTCAGGAGCAACACTGTAATAATAATAATAATTACGCAGTAATACTGAGACCGAGGTAGAGAGGGAACGGAATCCTTTTTTACGTTGTTTTTGCTATACAATTTGCTGGCGATCATAAAACTGCCAATGCGGCCGTCAGTACTTTGTTTGCACCAGCAGAAACGAAGGCCATATCTCTAATGTTTCACGCACTCAAACTAGAACTAACGACAAAACAGACCTGGCTGTTGTGTTGTACTGTGTGGCAGGCATGACGACGACGACGGTTTCTGTCCAAAGTGACTCTGTTACTTTTTGTGGTCAGAAGTGGGATAACCGTCGAACTGAAACACATATCCTGCCCCAAAAGGTCTGCAATCTTGGTCTGGTCATGCACGCGCAAATTGACGCGGTCTGGTAATTGTAAACTTGTCAGTTAGTGAATTACTATACATATATTCACCAATCTTGCAGCCGACAAGAGGAAAGCAGGCATCATCAAAACCTAACAATGCGCTTCTTCCAACAAGGTCCATAATCAATCGGCCTCAGAGTTCGCAGAACTCACATTCGACACATGCGTGTTTACCCCCTTAGCATTTTGAAATTACCTCTTTACGATGCATCGCAAACGATTTGTTCTCATTGATTATGCATTCGGGGAGCAACCAGCCACTTACCTACGTGGTCGCCAGTGAGGATGATCAAGTATCAGAAACTACAAGAAGACTTTTACCAGCTGTTAGCGAGGCGCCGGCAACCGGATAGAGTTTTTGATTACTCCTTTAACAATAGAAAAGGTTGATTGAAGAAAACGGCTGGGCACCAACAAATGAATAGTACCGATTCTTATGTTATCACATTTTCTTAAAGCTGGTTCTAGTATTGATTAATCGATCATGTATCATTGTTTAAGGTCGTACTAGAACTTGTATACTATAGTACTCATGTATAGCGCCGATTCGAATCCCATATGTCATGTGTGAATCGACGCGGTTTCTCACTTACAGATCTTTCTATCCCAGTGAAGTTATTACCACAAAGAGAAAGTATTGGTTCTAGCGGAGAATGAGGCACTGCAGAAAAATGGTTTAGGGTATCTAAGGGATTCAACGTGAGTTTGAGTTAATGGGAATGTACTTTTTGATATTGCTAGAGCGCTATGCTGACAATCCGAAGCTTACATATACGTTGCTATTCGATTGATTTGTCACACAAGGCGTTCCGGTGCAGTTGTTCCTAGTGCAGACCTTTCATGGCGGGCAGCGTAAGCAAGCGTTGCAGGTTTATAGCCCGTAGTACCGTCATCACGCTTTCCCATATTCAAAGCTCCAAGTGGCTGGCACGATATGCTCTAAACCTGTTTGACCTGACAGCACGATGCAGTAGGTAAAGGCACATGTGTCGCTACAACGCCTCCCTGGTTTAAGCTCGCCTTGGCATTCGGTTGACTTCGGAGACCGAGAACTTCTCGTAGTCGCCGTGTTTCTATGACCTAAAAACCTTTCGATTACTTCACTAAAACTATGCGATATAGAGTGTTTATGCAAATAAACTAGCGGCTATTGAGAAACTGGTAGCGA